TGCCACAAACTGGCTTTCACAGGATTGATCTGGTGGGTCTTATCATCCCATTCCCCGCCTGGGCTAAAATCCTCCTTCGCATGTACTCCTTCGAGGTCAGTAGCATTACACCAGGGGATGAATTGGGCCCACAGTGCTTAGCAATAGACAAGGGAAGCCAGGCAGCGCTCCAGACATCACCGTGCTGAGGTAGGCAGCAGGGTCGAGCCGCAATGGATACGTACCCCGATGATGACACACACCGGCCCCAGGAAACTCCAGATGAACCCCTTCTCCATGCTGAGCCAGCAGCTACAAGAACAAAAGGTTGATGTGACATTCACTGAACATCAGCAACCTGGTGCAGCGATTATCATTGATATTAGTGCTACCTGAACAGGCTCCCACCGAGACTGGAGTCCCATTGGGCACAGCTACAGAGTGAGGGACAGACCCTGCCCCTACCAGCACAATCTAAATGATAAGACAGATGTGGGGGAAGGGAAACTGAGGCAGAGAAGGGGGCAGTGACACATTTCAGGGGAGTTCTCTGGCCTGTGTTATACAGGAGGCCAGACCACATGATCGCAGTGGTCTGGCCATAGAATCTATTAATTTTATTCAAGGTCATGGACAGAGGTCAGTAGCAGAGCCAGAGAGAGAACCCAGGTGTCCTGCGCCCCAGTCGACTAGATGCTAGAAAGTGACTAATTCGTTCATGAAGAACAGCAGCACAGCTGTCGAGACAGACACCCACTGGTCCAGAGAGTCTTTCCCTGGGGAGCTCTGGGACACACACACACACACACACACACACACACACACACACACAGTGCTGCCGTAAGACAGGACCTACTCTCTTCACTCCCCTTTTTGCACTCACACAGCAAATTTGGCCTGCAGGTCTAACCACAGTACATCAAATTTCCTTGAAGCCGAGAATGCCTTAGATTAGGACCGTCTACTTCTAGGGACTTATAAGGCCCTATCACCGTAGCATCTAACAATCTTTAATTGATTTTGTCTCCCAACGCCCCGGTGCAGCAGGACAGTGCCATTATCTTCATTTCACACATGGGGAAACTGAGGCACGGAGCAGCTAGTTGGCTTGCCCAGCATCAAGCCAGTAGTAAAGCTTGGACTTGAACCTGCATCTCTCCTACCACATGTTAATACCCTAACCACTGCAGACTCCTGCCTGTCAACCCCACTGCGGCGCTTGGCCGTGGAAGGGCTCGGCAATCGATTGCCACTTGCTAGGCCACAGTTGCAAAGGGCCAGTTCCCCAGCTCGGGCGCTCACTTTTCCCGCTTGCCGTAGCCCTCCGGCATAACCGCCGCCGAGATGGCCACTACCAGGGCGGGGAAGCCGTAGCCGAAGAGGCACAGGTGCCGCATCTTGGGGCGGTGGGTGCTGAAATAGTTGACGACCCCGAGGTTGCGGACGGTGAGGAAGAGCACCACGGCCTCCAGGAACATCCAGGCGAAGCAGGCCAGGAAAAGGTAGTGCAGGATGCCAGCGATGATGGCGCAGGCCAGCTGGGGAGGGAAGAACGCCCGCGTGAGCGCAGAGATCCCAGGCTCTGCTTCTGCGTGGTTCCCCAGGCCAGGCCAGCACTTAGGGTGACCCCTAGTGGCAACACTATGCAGAACAGGGCGGGAGCTGGCGAGCCAGAGAGAACCACAGGGTCTGTGTCCAGCAGCCCGGCTAAACAACGTTTGAGCATCGCCTCCATCTGACCATCAGGGGCACTGTGGCCACCGCTGTCTTCTGCCACACAAATCCCAGCTCAGGGGGGCATTTCAAAGAGCCCACTGGAGGTTTGGGGGCTTCAGCCTGCACTAACGAGGACTCCTCGAGGTCCTTTCTAGTCCTATGATTCTTTCATTTAACAGCCTGGGCTTGGTTCACCTGCATCAAACCCACCCCTGTGAATTACCATTGCAAGAAGGGGTTTGCCCTAGGACAGTAGTTCCCAAACTTGAACAACCTGTGAACCCCTTTCACTAAAATGTCAAGTCTTGCGAACCCCCTCCTAAAAATGAATATTTCCAGGGATTTTCTCCTTTACCTGAAATATAAATGATAAAAGCAGTGATCTTGGAAATATAAAATTTGTTTTTTATGACATGCTTCTTACACACTATTTATTATTATTAATCATTACAATATTATCACATTATGAAAACGGTAACACTCTTCCAAGCTCTCACTTCCGTAGCTTGTATCACTGTGAATAAGCCTGTTATAAGACAAGGCTTCTATGTTTCATCAAGGAGTATCGGATGTGAAACAGCAGGAACGTATTTAAGACGCCAACTCAAAGAGTTCCTTCTACACAAGCATTGAGGTCTTGAGCAGTCCAGGCAAAAAACGCACAACAACGAAGCTTAAACTTGTTCTTCATAATAATTTTAAAAACAATACTAGCTGCCTATTTCATTTTAAAAAACAGCAAAAAATATCCACTTCCCTTTCTTATAAGGAGTCTTGAAGTTTAAATTTCCTCACTGTGATAGACAGGCTCTGGGCTGCTGGCCCCATGCTGCTTGGGGACCTTAAGAACAGCTCTGTCTGCCACGAGAGAATTTTTCCCCCCAAGAACTCCCTGTAACATTTCACAAACCCCAGTTGGGGAACCACTGCCCTAGGATCTCATCTCTGCCCTAAAGGCCACCACCAGCTACATACCCAATAATCACTCACTCTTCAAAGTAGGTCAGTATCATTACCCCCATTTTACATATGGGGAAACTGAGGCACAGAGCAGGAGAATGACTCCGTCAAGGTCACACAAGAGGCCAGTGGCAGAACCAGGACTAAAACTCAGGTTTCCTGCGTTCCAATCTGATACCCCGTCCACTGGTCCGCACGGCCTCTGTTAGTCTGCCCCTCAAGTGCTTTCCTGGAGACCCTGACCCGTGTCCCTGGTATCACGTTTTTTCCAACCTGCGCTATTCTTCGCTTTTTCCTTATTTTTATTTCATTTTTTTGCAGCCAAGCAGCAGCCGCGACGAGCTCATCTGCGTCTCGTGGGAGGCCACGGCCCGGCGTGGCAGCTGGTCTCGGGCAGGGTGCGGGGTCCTGCGCAGCAGCGCCACTCACACCACGTGCAGCTGCAATCGCGTCTCCAACCTGGCCGTCCTCATGGCATCGGGGGAGATAACGGTAACGGGCCCGTGCTCGCAGACCGAGGCTGCAGGCTTTGCTGGGGGCAGTCGGGCATCCTCTCGGCAAAGGAGAGGTTGAAGGAGGACAAGGAGGTAGCTCTGGGGATGTTTACGGGGAGCCCCTCCCCGGCATGGGGGCAGCGCCGGAGAAAGCACAAAGGGGCTGGG